TATTAATTCACCCGAATTTGAGTTGGCTATTATGAATCATCGTAGAGGTTATATCTCACATTAGAGATTGATATTAAGAAAATAGAACTTTTCAGTCAAAAATATTTTTAGGAGGAAATATTCGCAAAATGTAAAGATATTGATGTAAGAAGAAAACTTAACAAGCTTATTTAGATGAGTGCAGTTTTTAAAAACACAAACAAAACTTTTTTTAAAAAAAATATATATACATATAGATCACTATTATATTTAAATCTAAATGTGTTTTTTAAATAAAGAATATTCCATGGAATAAATAATACTAGTATAAGATTATTTAGCTATTTAGATGAACTTTTTTTGTAAAGAATTGGGAGTTTTAAAGAAAGTGCAGAAGATGAATTAAATCGATTAAAAATATTACAAATTGTAGCTTCGCTCTAATACGAATCTTTTCTTTTTGAAAATAAAGATTATTTTTTTAATAAAATACTCCATGTGTAAATATAATATATTTAATTTTATTTACAGAAATTTTGAAGACACATAAGTTTTACAGTGCTAACATATGTATGTAATCCTGAGGTTAAAATGATTCATTAATTGGTATAACCAACAATCAATAATTTACTGAAGCATCCAAAAAATAGTTTTATAGTTACCATTTTCATATAATAGACATATATATACTCATTTTATTAACAGGATTTGGAAACAATACTTTTTATTACTAAATTTCATTTTTAAAGTCAAAAAAATATTTTCTTTAAATTATTTTTCAATAGAAAGTTTTTTATTTTTTTAAGAAAAATTGTAAAATAATTTTTTTTTTTGGAAATTCTATAATTAGTACTTAACAAAATTATTTTACGAGCTTTGTATAATACAGGAAGTCACTGTCGTTGCCAATTTGTTCCCTTGTAGCCCTTGGGTTCTATAATCAATAAAAACACTAAAGTTTTAATTGCTACTATACGCAGAGCGCTAAAAATGCCTCGCACATTGGCGCTTGCGATGCACTTTTTAAAAATGCGCTCTAGAACTACCGATTTAAGTGCCAAACGTGTTGATTTAAAATGCATTTAATGCGCTTCGAGCACATTAAAATATATAAAGTAATTAGATAAATAAATGAAATCCTACATATGTGTAGTAATTAAAGTAACAAAACTTAGCAAGAACGCTAAGTGTATGGTATATGACTATGCCCCGTTGGAACTACAGATTTGCTATACCCATATCTTTAATTTAACACTTGCAAAAATTATTGCCTGTAGCGACCCGAATTTACAGTTTGTTTCACAACTTTGTACTATTGCAACTTCACTTCAAAGATTTTTTGTAGATACAATGGTCTTTAGGTAGTTATTTGTGGATATTCATTGACCCAGATGCAACAGTTCAGTTTGTTGATATATCTGCTAAACGATTAATAAACCATATCACAAAAGAAAATTTTCCACAAAAAAGCGTCGGTATTTTTGTTTTCATGATTCAGATAGTTTATAAAGATCAAAACAAGAAATAAATAATCCAAGTTCCCAAAGAGATATAAATTTAGAAAGTTGTGCTTATCCAATCAATTTTATCCTATGCCTTGGGTGTGGTAAGAGATTTGATAAAGCACGTCGTAAAGAACCACAATTTACAGTAAATTTTGCAAAGATAAGATAAGACAGATAGGGTACCGTCTTCGACTACAAATGATCTTTTGTTTTGCCATAGACCTTAATCGAACAGATGATATTCCGCCTTTCGAATGAAAGCCAAAATGTCAACCGTTGGGAAGTTTCTAATGTCAGAAGGGGAAAGTAATTCCCGACCCAGTGATATTGTCCTTTCCCATTCATCAATAGATGATAAGACTAAAGTAATAAAATATATTCTACATAGCTGATGTACAAATTAGAGTTTAGATTCGAAGACAAGTATTGCCAATTGTGTTATCGGTAAAATTGAAAAGAGGATTCGAAATATACTATGTTGTCTTCAATATACCTATTCTTTTAAATCAATACCACTATTCACATAATTCAATGCAGTGCATTGCTTCGCATTGTAAAAAGCAACAAGCCTTTTTAAAAATCAGCGAATATTTGTAATTCAACGAATAGACTTGTTGATACCTTAATATGAGCTATTCGCTGCAAATCTCTTGCCCGAATATCTCTTATCTCTTTGTTGCTATTTTGCATTGTTACTGATCGTGAGGAACACTTTTTTTTATCGAAATTAATAATTATTTATTATTCATAAAAAAATTTTAACTCGTGACTTTAAATTGGTGTTTGCACAAGGATTGCGATTAATTTTTAATATAGTATTGTATCAGGCTACTTGGTTAATTATTACTTATACCATAAGTAGAGATAAGTAAAATACTATTTTTATAAGTAAAGAGGTATATCGAAAAGTAGTGAATTACAACAACAAAAATTCATTTTTATATTATTTTAATTAATTGAATTTTTTGCTGACCATACAGCTGTTTCGAGTATTGCCAAATACTCATCATTAGTGGTCTTAGAAGTAATGCTTGTATTTAATTATTCGTAAATAATTTTTTTAGACTACAAGTACCAGGTATCGAACTCTTGTTCTGCCAAATTTGAAGCTCAGAGTCAGCGTTCATTAACCAACTGACCCAAAGCCGTACTTGACTTGATGTTCACAACTTTTTTCTGGAACTTTGTTAATTTGCTGTGAGAGTTTTATTAATAAATTGCTGTGTTATATTAGAATGAAATCATAAACCAGCTGCAGAATAATTGAATTAATTAACTATATTTTTATTTTTTAATTGTTAAATTTCAGTACTATACTGTTTGTAGGGGCATTATTGTTATAAATAAAAATTTAGAGAAACTTTATTATTTTATTTGGTTTTGACTTTTATTTGGTTTTCAATATTTTGAGTTTAACCTGAAGTCGTCTTCAGGAAACTGACGGTTTTATATCATAACATTTGATTCTAATTTTATTTACATTTATATATTAAAATGATATACTAAAATATTGCCGTTTTTTTTTGATAATAATAAAATAATAATAAATGACAAAGTCGGCTTCAGGAAACTAACGATTTTATATCATAACATTTGATTCGTGTTTTATTTATTTAATATATAAATTAATATATTAAAATATATCATGGCCGTTTTTTTTTGATAATAATAAAATAATAATAAATAATAAAGTCGTCTTCAGGAAACTGACGATTATATATCATAACATGTTTTATTTATATTAAAGTGATATGGTAATATACTAGGAGGATAGCGTTAAATATCTTGGCATCACGTTGGACAAACGATTCATATGGCTTAAACATGTTTAACTGAAAAGGATAAGTTGTGCCAATTCTTCATTACCTTCAGAAATGAAAATTTCAATGCTAAGAACAGGAAACTGATATATAACCAAAAAATTCGTCCGTCACTTCTATATGGATGTGTAGCGTTTAGCAAAGCTTCAAACACTACTATTCGCCAGTTAGAAATTGCACAAAGCCAGGCTCTGAGAAGACTTTGCAAAGTGACATCCTGGGACCTCAAGATTGATCCCATCAAAAAATACATAAAGGATAGAGCCCTGAAAATATTTACGAAAACTGATAGACTTGCCAATACCGCGTTATCAAATCTCAGAATAATTTCAGGCTCCTCGGGGAGGTATGCAAATCTGAGGTCAGTTATTGTTTAGTCTGATGAAATGATAAACAATAATCCAATCAAGGCGTAAAGAGGGGTTTTAAAAATACCTCGAGTTAAGAAAGAGTAAAAGTGCTCAATTGCACTGGCTCAAATAGCTTCAACATAATAATATATTAAAATATATCATAGACGTTTTTTTTTGTTTATTATAATTTTTTGAATATATATGGTTTCATAAAAAATGCTTATATTATATATGTATATGAATGTCATTACCATTTAAATTAATATTATTATGAATATATTCATTATACAATGCCTACATTATAGACATTCCTGTCTACTTAACTTATTATTTTTTATATTTGAAAGGGAGTATAACTTTTTTAATCCAGCCGCAACTGTTTAACCGTGAATATATCTCATAATTGGCTTTAAGTTTAATTTAATTTAAATATTAATGTATTGCTGTGTGCATGTTCGTGTGTATGTGTGTATGTTATATGAATTACATATGTAAAGTATAATGATTTAATGCACAACAAACAAAATTAAATTACATGATATCGCAGTTTAGTGGAGAAGTGAGTTTTTAATTTACTCGTTTCAAGTGCTTACAAAAGCAATTCATAAAAATACATGAGTGCATATTAAAAAGTTTTCAGTTTTCAGTGCTTAGCGTTCAGTGTTCAGTATTCAGTGTTCACTGTTCACTGTTTACAGTATAGGATTCAGTATTCAGTACTCAGCATTTTTAAGTGAAACTAAATTTGCATAGTATATGGTATATAGTATGGGTATGAGTATGAGTACGAATACGAGTTTTATATTTTCATTCGTTTAGTTATTTTCATTTTCGCAGAGTTCCTAAAAGCTTTTAATCTTTGGTATATTTCAATTAGTGGCACACATTTTTCCATTTATTCATTCATTCACGTTTTTGCCTTACTCGTACTGGAATAAATGTCCTTTTTGTGGTTATCAACGCAGACGTTAGCAGTCACGCAAATGTGCTGAAAAGGGCATACGGAAAAGAACTGCTTTAAATAAAAAATAAGAGAAGAATGTAAATAAAAAATAGCACAAGAATAAGTCCAGGAGGATAAAAAATTTATATTTGCTTAGTTTCGTTAGATCCGTTGAGTGCCATTTATGGCGGCATTAGTGTGTTGCGGTTAAGCACAGATCCCTTAACAGTACGTGAACTACTCTACTACTCATGCTTACGTATAAATGTGCATACATATATCAAAGCGAAAGTCCGCTTGTTTAAATATACAAAAAAAAAACAAGAAAAAACAAGAAATATTGTATAAATGTAGGTTTGTGTGTGAAATACTGTTTATGAAAAACACATTAAATCCTTACTTATCAAAACGCAATCAGCTTAAATAGTGTTGCGGTCTCTCCTTGTATGAAACCAAAATTGATATGAAATGATATCCTTTCTATCCTTTAGTAATTCGACACGCACTCACGCACAATACTACACACACTATACGTATAGAGTTAAAGTCTAAGCCCTTGAGCATATAAACTTACTGATTTTACACAACTTTCTTAGGCTAACGACTTCTTATGATTTCATACCGACCCACCGACCGACCAACCGACCGACCGACAGATATGGTATAGACAGACGTATGCGACGAAGAAGCAACAAAAGGACAACTTACGGACTTAACACGACACTATGCAAACATACTCTTTACACATGTGATTTTGCACTTTCAGCAGTTTCCAAACAATATTTCATATATTCGCCACACAATGGAAATAAACAACGAAAAGGATTAATAAATTCCAATGTTCCTCAACGCATGAATTTTAACCCTTTAAGCCTTTTTAAAGCCACGCAAACTAATGTTGATAACTAACCGGAAATAGTTGTCAGCACTCAAGTGATAGCAGCATTGTGTTTCTAGTGTCATTAGAGTACATTCAAGTGTTCGCGTTCTTCGTTGGGGAACCTCTACCTGTACGCTCCGCCGTCAAAGGATAATGAATAAGCAATTATAATACAATTAAAAACAATTGTTTAGTTAGTAGTTTGTATACGGAGGATGAACGCGCTTGGACGGAGTTAATAATTATAAATTTTTATTGTTAATTTTTAATGTTTTTTATTTGTATTTCTTAAATACAAATGTATTTTTGTTGATATTTCTGAAATATTATTATACTTTTTGTTTTTGTGAACGATAGAAATGTAAAAATTTTAAAGCACAAAATCCAAACAAAAATTTTAAAATAACGGCAACAGACAGAACCGGAAATTAAATTTTGTAGTGTTGAAAAGGAGTTGCACGGAGTTCGTTTATAGGCTTGCGTTGTCGACCGCCAACTACGAAGTATTGCAATAGACTAAATTATGCAAAGCACGAGTATCCTGCAATATGTGTGGTCGCAAGGATACATTTATACAATTCTTGTTTACATAACATATTCACCATTGTGGGCACATGCGCATCTAAGCCACTCATTATGCAGCGCATGCCGGTCTCCAATTGAGCCATCCTGTCAATGCAACGCATTGCTACTAGGACAACAAAGGAGCCAAATTCTGTTACAATGTTTGTTGCATTGCAAATGCTCGTATATTTCCTACTCAAAACGGAAGTAATTCCCTTCAAGATAGCCTATAGTATTATGTGTAAAAATTTGCTGCTGGCAATTCCGCGTATTGTTGAGAATATTTTCATATTAAAGATGAGTTACTTACGTTCTTAGGTGTTTGTATGAAGCACTAACATGCAACTGTTGCGCATTTTTTTGTATTGTTTGAGTGACAATACATGCAGCATGTGGTGTGTGGCATGAAGGCCGCACATTTTGGGCGGAAAACCAAATTTTTATTGTTGACCCCCGAAATTACAAAACAAACTAAAATGATAAACAAAACATAAAAAGAAGAAGAAAAATCTAAATAAACTAGTTGATATAAATTTTTATTCGCGCTGCAGCTGGAAATAAAAGTTGAAAATTTAATGGCGATTAGTATTGTTGGCCATAATCGTTTGAATTTGAATATTACTTTTATGATTATATATTTTCTTTATTTTTTATTTTTGTAATTCATTTTAAAATAGCCAAATTAATGTATAAATGTGCCAATGGTACAAAGTAGAAAAAAATTTCAATAAGACAATTGACTTCGGAAATTTTATTAAAACAACAGAAAAATTTTTTCTGGCGGACCCCAGTCCGCCTCCTGTGCGCTTTCCGTATCTTTGCATATCATAAAAACTGATTTACTGTAAAATGTCTGTCAATTAAAATTTTAATGAAATAACTTTTAAAGTACCATTTTTTGCTCGGACATCAATAATGAACCATTCGGTTTGACTGACATTTAAAAAAAAATTAAAAAGAAATTCTTTTAAAAAAAAAGGTTGATTAAGTTTATTGAAAAAAAGCAATTTACTCTGACAGCCGATATAAGGGTTAATAAAAATTTGGGAGACATATTGTTAAAAAAAGGACATAATTATAATTAAAATGTCTTACAGTACTTAAAAATATTGTTATTCGATTTATTTGAAGTTGTGATATGACATGACCATGACTTTGTAATAAAAATTTTAAATTTTGGGTCTTTATATTTTTATTTAATTGTTTTAAAATAATAAATACAATCACATCAGTTGTACTTTATAACTTACTTGAAATTTGTGAAATTAATTAAATAAATATTGAATAAAAGCCATGTTTTTCTTTCATTTAAGTTTACATTTATACCTTTGAAGTGTAATTTGCATGAATATTTTTGCAGTTCTAGTAACAAACTTTAAAGTCTTATGAAAAGAAAGACCTCCTCAACTTCATCTGAAAAACAAAATGGTTTAACAGGGATAACAAGGGTTAGCAACTCACCGCTCCTGGCGAGTTGCATCACAATGGGCAACATAACCTCCGAGTGAAAGTGCTGAGAAGTGTCAACACGCATCTTCTGAACCTAACCTAACCATGATGAATACGCTTTTTGAAACATTGGGATCAAATTAGTGCCGAAACACTATAATCAAAAAATTGAATGAAAATATTTATAACTTTTAATATCTTCTAAGTCTAAAAACACATCAAAGTACTCTTCTACCGATATAATATACTTTTCCAACGTTTTTATCAACCTAGAAAACAATTTTAAAAGTCGATTTATGGAACTCTTAAATACCACAACGACTAATTTTTCATATTACAAGATGATAACAAGAAAAAATAAGTAGTTAATAATAAAAATATAAACAATAAATAAAAACACATTAAAAAACAAATAAAAAACATTAGTAACAATCTATTCAGGTCATGTCTTCTGCAGTTTATGGTCAACACAACCGAACTATAGAGTTTATTATATTAATAGAGTTGAAGAAATTGGATTAAATAGTGTTTGTGATGTTAGAAAAACAACCAACTAAAAATGTGAATATATAAGTATAGCTGATAAAATTGATTATGTGAAGCAAAGTTTGATTGAAGATGCAAACTGCCTTATATTTTATAAAACACTAGATATTTTGGCAGAGTAACAAGATTACCCTGAAATTAACAGCTGTTTTATATGACATACTATGTTCAGACAGACAAATTTCCAAATTTACAAATTTCGTAAAAATTGTTCACAAATCGAATGTTAAAAATTACCTAAAAATTGAATTTTGTATGGAAAAAAAACAACTTAATTTCGCTGAAACAAAATTTAAATTAAGATTTTTGTATGTCTAAACATAGTATTAACAGGTAAAGCATGATTTGATTCCATATTTGTAATTATGAATAATATAAATATCTACTAACACTGCTACAAATACGTTAGATTACTCCCAAATGTTATATTGGGCTATAAAATTTGACTGATCGGGAATAAACCTATATTTAATCAAAATTTATGACACCAAATTACTATAAGTAAATTACCATAAGTAAATTACTATATATTACTATAGAAGTGATTATTCATACTTTTCAAGAATATTGAACACATTTTGCTGTCAAGTACATTCGACTTAATCGAGTTGCATTTATTAAAGTAAGAACAATATATATATAAATATATTTTTATATATGTACGCAAGCGTAATACAAACTGCAAATCTTAAAAATGATGTAGTTAATGAAACTCACTTTCAACTTGTTTCATAAGGAGATAATATTATATTAAAATAAAAGGAAATTGTCCCACACCTAATAGTCCAAACAGAAATAGAGTATATATAGTAAAATTCTTGATGTACTTTAAAAAGTGCTACAAAGTTGCACAAGAACAAACAATCATTATTAATTTTTTTTAATGATCATAATTTTTCAGTATTCTGTATTATTCTGGGTTTAAAAATAAAAATGGAAGTAAAAACAGGTTAAGGTTTTAGCTAAAGTGTAATGTAGAAATGTAGTAAAGTAAAACGTACTCTTAATTTTTCCGTTTTGCAGATACTTTTTTCTACACATACAGAAATTTTGTTTTAAGTAAAAATCGTGATATATAACCTAATGATTTAAGACCCAACTTTTATTGTTACAAGACTTCACATACTTATTATCTTCAAGTAACTTATATTATGCGTCGATGATATCAAAATGTTTCTACAAATTTATTTATTTAGTTGTGAGTAAACATTAAAATCAGTTTTCAAGTTAACTAAGAATAAGGAATTGGTCAGCTAAGTCCACCATATTTTTACAAATTTAAAATTCGGTGCAAAACGTTTCGATAGTTATTAGAATTATCAAGCATAAGATTTAAAATTCTTACAAAATAATTACAATTATAAAGAGTTTATTAAAGATTGTTCAGGTAGCAAGCGGGTGTTATATAATGGGAGAGACTGGGTCTGACAACAATAGTATGTATATCAAAATAATCGGAAATCATGCCACGATTTAGTAGTCTAACACGAATCTTCTTTTATGTTTTTGGTTTTTAAAGTCCAAAAACTGTTAAGTCAACTTTGGGTTGTGTAATAGAACTACTACTTTTTTGTTAATTAATTAATTACTTAATTACAAAAATTTTTTTTTTCATTTTATTACTTAAATGATTTTAAAATATATTATTTTTGGTAGTTATTTAGTGTAAATACTATATGAATTAGTAAATTAACTTTAATTATATATTGAATGGATATTGTTAGATTTAAAAGAAGTCCAGTTCAAATACTACCTTAATCAGTGTGTTAACTTTAATTATATATTGACTTGATAAGCTTAGATTTAAAACAAGTCCTGTGTAAAGTTTCATTCGACTTGCTCATGAATTAAAAAACTTTAATATTAATAGATATAGGGACAAACAGACACTCATTGCTAAATCAATTCATATTCTCGTGTTAATATAAATGGTTTATAAATGGTTTATATAATTTTGGCACCTTCTCCACTATGAGACAACTATTTTATGTGTTCAGTTTTATGCGTACTATTATAAGGAGTTTAACTATTCGCAATTTATATATTGACTTAATTAAATTGTTTAAA